GCCCCTCTGTGCAGCACACTGACTCCCCACACTCAGGGTGGTCGGCCGGTCTGATCTTCTCCTCCAGGTGGAAGCCAGCATCCCCCACAGGTGAGTGCCGCTGGGCTCGCCGAGAGTCTATTGGGCTTGCGCCCACAGCTGTTCTGCTTCATTTCATTTGCAGTGATACTTCTCACTCCAGTTGTAGGTTAGATTAGGATCCCTAGAAACAAACTCTGAGGGACCGCTGCCTCGTGCAGGTTCACTGGTAGTGCCCTAGGGAGATGCACCAGGGGGCTGAGGGGGACGTCGTCCTTGAGCCTCAGCCTCAGCCTGTCCCCCAGGATGTCGTCCTTGAGTCTCAGCCTCAGTCTGTCCCCCAGAACCTTGCCCTTGAGCCTCAGCCTGTCCCCCAGGACCTCGCCCTTGAGCTGAAGCCTCTGTGACTGGGATAACCTCTGAGATTGTCCTAAACTGAGACAGAGTCTGAAGACTGGGTCTTGGTATCCAAAGTCACACAGTCCTTGGCCATGTGGCACTCCTGGGAGGGGCTGTGACCTTCAACCAGGCAGGTCCCCTGCAGGTGGGGTAGGCTAGCCCGGGGCCCAGCTGGGAGCAGCTCAGCCCACATGCTCAGGAGCTGAGCCACGGTGGGGCCTGGGCTCTGAGAGGGGCGCTGGGTGGAGCACAGTGCTACCCACGGAGCTGAATTTCATTCAATCCCACTTAAACTCTGGACGGTGAGTATAAAAACAAAACGGTGTCATTCCTAGAAAAACGAAGTCAAGTGATTTGGAAAAATTCAGTAAGGGCAATCTACTAAAAAAAGAGTTGAAATAAGTTGTGGACAAGACAACCATAAATGACCAGGCATTCAGGTGGTTTCACGAGGGTCTTTCGGGCCCTGTTCCATTCATGACGTGCATGTTTTTATACTACAGTACCTAAGCTTGTGGTTTACACATGGAAGCTAACAGAACTCTACCCACTGAGGTCATGAAGAGGTTGAAGATAAATGAATGTATGTCAAATTTAACGTTTCAATGGATTTAAACATATTCATAGAATTTTGAAAAATGGTTCGCCTCTTTCCCAAACATTTTATTGTCCACCTGGCTCTGCACAGAGTTGAGAGGGCTTTCAGGAGCCTCTGAGCCAGCCTGACGGATGCACAGAGCCCATTCCCACTGAGGGAACCACAGACACGGCAGCTCTGGTCACCGCCGGCATCCACCCTTTTCCTACAGACCCCCAGACTGTGATGCTGTGGCCCGGGCGGGACCCTCCTCTTTCCTCTGATTGTGAACATGGTTCTACGTGTTGCGGCTTCTGCAGTGGACAAAGCAGACAAAGGCTGTGGCTTTCTGGGGCTCCCTTTCCTTGGGTGGGCAGCGCAGCAGGGCGTTCATTGCTGGCACACCCACGGTGGGCCAGGCCCGTGCTGAGTGTGTGGCACGCACTATCTCCTGGGCGGGGGTTACAGAGTCGGGTGGCTGACCCTGCTTTTCTGTGTGTTTACGTGTCTCCTTGAACTTGTGGTCACTTCCGATTCCAGGCTGGGAATCAGCACAGAGCTACCTTTCGGCCGTGCGTCAGATGCTGGTAAGCCAATCAGTAAGAGGATTGCTAGAAAGGAGCCCTGGCTGGGCGGGAATTGGAAGGGCCCGTAGCTCTGTGGTTTTCCCAGAGCCTGGATCTGGACGGCCACGTCCACCGAACCGGGCTCCATGTTGGCCGGAGACTGTGCTTGGGGCACCACACAGGTAAGGACGAGCACCCCAAGGGACCCTGCTAGACACCCCCGCCCAGCCCAACTCTGCGGAGAAAGGCGGCTGGCTACTGCTACGGCCCTGAGGCCAGGACTTGTGAGTTTATCATTAAAGAAAACACAGCAAGGAAAAAGGGGGGAAGGAATACAGGACTGTGAACGCTTCCTGCGTGGTTTGGGGCAACTTCCTTGCCTCCTCTGGGCTTCAGATTCCCTGTGTAGTGTCACTGGCTGAGTTCAGATGGAGAATAACCATTTTGGAGCTTGTAGTTTGCAGAGGGGAAGCCAGGCCTTCAGGAGCAGCCCTGGAAGGCTGCCCATCTGCCTGTCTCGACTCCTGGGGAGCCCCCGCAGGGAGGTCAGTCTCCCGAGGCTCCGTCTGCCTCCTCTGCCTCCCTCCTTCCTGGCCTCAGAGTCCCCACAGGCCCCTCAGCAACTCTTCTCTGGAATGAAAGAACACCTGTTTTCTCCCTGGAATGCCAGTGTGAAAATAAACAAAAGCCACCTGTGACAGACTGAATGCTGTGCGTTTCCCTAGATTCACTGTTGAAGCCCTGACCCCCCGTGTGATGGCTAGAGATGGAGCATCTGGGAAGTGATTAGGGTTAGAAGAAGTTTTAAGTGTGGGTGCCCCATGATGGGATTCGTGCCCTTGTAAGAAGAAACGTCAGAGAAGTCTCTTCTCTTGCTTCTTCTTGCTCCTTCTCGCTCTGCCACATGCTGACAGAGGGAGAAGGCGGCCGACGGTAAACCGGGGAGAGAACCCTCACCAGGAACAGAGTGTGCTGGCCCCATGATCTTAGACTTCTGGACTCTGGCACTGTGAGAAATCAAGTCCTGCTATTTAAGCCCCCAGTCTATGGGACCTCACTGTGGCGGCTAAGGCTAAGACTGCACCAAAATGAGTGTGAGCAGAGGCTGCTTATCCAGAGCTTTCTCCAGCAAGGGGCTCACTGATTTTACCTGCGTTTGGACAGGGGGGTGGGCGAGCTTCCCGGTGGAGGAAAGGAGGCTCCAGGGATGCTCTGGCTGGAGGCTGCTGGCATGGGCAGCTGGAGGCGCTCAGAAGCAGGGTGTCAAAGGAGATTGGCTGTGGGTATTTGGCTTTTCCCAGTTAGTCCTCAGTTAGAAGCAGGGCTGAGAATAAGAGAAGCTGGTATTTACCGCTCAAGTCCTGACCTCTGGGACCAACCGCTGCAGAGGCCATGCCTGGCCCCGGGGCAGCGTCTGCAGGTGCGGGTCAGGGCCCTGCCCTGATTTATGGCCTGGCCCTTGTCCATGGGCACATCCAGGCTCTCACCAGGCACCTGTCTGTTCCTCCAAACGCACAGCTGTGTGCTAGGAGGGAGCACCAAGGGAGCTTCTAAAAATGTCCTTCTGGGCTCTTCTGTGACAGGGGGGATTTTAATAGGGGCTTCCCAAAATCAATCAACCCCTTAAATCACTGCTTCTGGGACGGTCGTGTCAGGCAGGAGGGAAAGGAGCATGTTTTCAGGCCTGTGGGGATGGAGGTCCCCCCAAGTGCACATCTTTGTGAAGCTGGTGGCCCGTGGCCTCAGAGATGCCCCAGGCAGCCCAGGAGTCGGGCTGTGGACCTGGAGCTGGGTGCTGAGAAGCCTGATGGCGCTTTGGGAATTCCATAGCTGCCTGGTTGGAAGTTCAGTATTAAAACCAATTTAGGCCAGGCGTGGTGGCTCACGTCTGTAATCCCAGCACTTTGGGAGACCGAGGTGGGTGGATCACAAGGTCAGGAGATCGAGACCATCCTGGCCAACATGGTGAAACTGCGTCTCTACTAAAAACGCAAAAAATTAGCTGGGCGTGGTGGTGCTTGCCTATAGTCCCAGCTACTCGGGAGGCTGAGGCAGGAGAATCACTTGAACCAGGGAGACAGAGGTTGCAGTGAGCTGAGATCACGCCACTGCAATCTAGTCTGGTGACAGAGCAAGATACCTTCTCAAAAAAAAAAAAAAAAAATTAAAACGGAAACAAAAATAGCGCTCTACTATGCCACACATGTGCAGTTTCAACACACAGAGAAGGCTGCAGTGGGGGGTTTGAGCCAGACAGGCACAGCAACCACAGCTACAGGGGCCTGAGGAGGCCACACCAGTGTCTCCCCAAAGCCATTGTAGAGCTGGGGAAAGACCAAAGCTTCTCCAAGTGGGAACCAGAGTGGTCCCTGCTGGTTGCAGCCAATGCTTGTTCTCAGGGCCAGGCCTAGCTCGTCATTCCATACTCAGTGTTTTCCAAAGTGGGAAAATGCACCTTCTGGAGCAAACCATCAACTCCTATCCACAAATCAAGCCCCGGTCCGGGGGAAGGGACGCAGGGATGGAAAGCTGGGATGGGGGCGCTGGCCTCCTTCCGGGGTGAGACCTGGGAGAGGGCCAGGGTGGCTCACAGAGATACTGTTTGGGGGAAATGAGTATGTTAGACTTGGATGGCCTCTGCTGTGTCTGGTTTTTAAAAATCTCCTTTTGCATTTGATTCTTTCTTTCTTTCTCCTTTTTAACTCCTTCTCCTTACCTGCCTCATTCTTTCCATGATTCTTGATCCACAGGGTGACAAGAATCAGCTAATTCAGCGGGGCTGTCAGGACTGATCCCCTGTCTCTGAGGCAGCAGCTGCTCCATGATCGGGAGGTATTAATTAATTAATTAATTAACTCAATCCCTTGGCTTTCAGGCTGCGCCATGTTTACATCAGACATTGATAACAGCAAATGAGTGGATAAATTTCCAACAGATGGAGACATTTTTCTAAAGTTTTCTAGGCCAGGCATGGTGGCTCATGCCTATAATCCCAGCACTTTGGGAGGCCAAGGTAGGAGGATCACTTGAAGCCAGGAGTTTGAGACCAACCTGGGCAACATGGTGAAACCCCATCTCTCCAAAAAAAAAAAAAAAAATTAAAGTTTTCTAGTGGGCAATGCTATGGCTTCCACTGAGAATCAGTTTCACTCTCAGGGTTAGGGAATAGCTCTGCGTTTCCACCTTAAGACTTCTAAGACAAAATTCAATTTCATTTTCTTGGATTGATTCGGGGCTTTGATATATTTGACTGGTTGCATCCTTCTCTATTACCCAGACTGCTGCTACCATGGATGCAACCTTCATTTGGCACACACCAGGCTCTTGAGGCCACGCATCCATCTTGGAGGGGCCCTGTGGGTTCTCTGAAAGTCTCCTGAAGCCTTGCACACTTTCTAAGGTGAGATGGTGGAGGATGAGCAAGAAAGGAGCAATCCGAGTGGTAAAATAATGTTTTATTCCATGGATGAACAGACGCTACCATGCCACATCCTCACATCCCTCCGACCAGGTGTCGTGGCCAGAGCTGGCTTCCTCTTCCAGACCGAGCTGGCTTTGTAGTCGTTCAGGCCCATTGAAATAGCAAACGCACAGTCACGTAGCACTCGGATCGGTCCTTTTGTCAGCACATTGGTCCTTTCACAAATGGTGGTGACTCACCTTTAAAACACCCGGTGACAGAGACCCTCCAATCACCCTAACTATAACGGACGTTCAGAGCTCATGTGGATAAACCCAAAACCCCAAACGCCAAAATGCAACAGGGATGCAACTCCTCTGCTGACAGGATGCCAAGGACACCCCCGCAGGGCTGGGAGCTGGAGAAGTCAGTCCTGACATTCAGCTTGTCCACAAGCTCAAAAGGAAATGACAGTAATGGATATATTTCAAACTAGCACTTCTAGAGTCCAGATCAGCCAGAGTGTCAGCATGCAGGCTCAACACGGGGTTAGCACTGGCGGGAGGAGGTTGGGTTGACTGCACAGAGGCCTGACACACATTGCTTCCTTTATATACAACAGAATGAAATATACACTGGGAACACCGGCTGCACATTTGGTGGGAGTGTATCTTACAAGGCTAACATAGCACTTCATCAACCTCCTGCTCGTGGCAGGAAGGTCACGGAGCCTCCCCCCAAGATGGGAGAGGGAAGTGCGCAGGCCCACAGAACCCTCAGGACTCCCGTGGCCCGAGCACACACAGTAGACCTGGGGGTGGAGTTGACGCTTTGTCGTTTTTGTGTGTGTGTGTGTGTTTTTTAACCAAATGTCATGGGAAAAAGCTTGATACCATACCAAGGAGGACAAGGATGGTTGTAAGGACGGATGTAAATAGTGCACATCTACAGCCAAGCCCTAGCACAGCTCAGTGGGAGACAGGTTTTATTTACGTTATTTCTTTTAATGGGTACTATTGGCTGTCCTCCCCCTCAGTGTTTAGGAGCGTCTCCAAGACGTCTGAAGACAGCCTTGAGGAGGGAGCAGTTACTTCCGATCTGCTTCTTCATCCAAACAAGCGCAAAGTCTACACGTGGGCTGGAGAAAGGAGAGCGAAACAAAGCCAAACCCAAAACAGCAAAACCACCCCCTGACGGAGACACTGGAGCATCAGGTTAAAACCATAGAAAAATACGAGTTAATTCTATCAGGCTAACCATTAGCGTAGCTACAGTAAGACTTTGTACAGAAAAGGGTTTTCTCGTAGCCCCTCACCATGTTGCATGTCCTAATGACAGGACATAGCAAGCCCATCTATGAACGTGCACTGCTAAACGATTGTGCTGTAACTGCTGTGTCCGTGGCACTGTGGCATGAGACAGGGTGTGATGCTGCGAACGGGAACACAGAGGCTAGTGGGCGGGTCTCATGCTTCCGCCGGGTGGCTGGAATCTAGGGGCCGGTGTTCTGTGGGCTCGCGCGGGCTTTGGCGCCACCATCCTTTGCTCGGTTCCTTGGGGGAGGGGCCATGGCGTGCCGGTCTCTGGGGCGCCAGCAGGAGGCGCTGCTGCGGGGACAGAGTTGTCCCTGGTGCCATGGAGGCCGCCAGCGAGGACCCCGGGGAAGGAGCTTGTTTCCCAAGCAAAACTGCCTTCGGCATCCGAGACACACATGCTGTGGCACACCCGGCCCCGCCCCGCCCCGCGCCTCCCCGGGATGAGGGAGGGCAGGGAAATCCCTCAGTTGCATCTGGTTGTAGAAAGAGCCACGTTTGTGCTTAGAGTGACCTGAGAGGTTAGTCGTCCTCCTCGTCCTCTTTCGCTGTGACTGTGGGCAGTTTGTCCTGGATCCTGAAGCATTCCACGAAGAAGTTGATGATGGACCGGTACAGATGCTGTTTGAGGCTGGCGCTGTTAAAGTAATGGCTTTCGTCGGGGTAAATCTGCAAGGAAGGCACCGAGAAATGACTCTCCCCGGAACACCCTCCCCATGGGACGGGAACGCACAGAAGGTATGGGCCCCAGGTTTCACTGGGCTGGATTTGAGTGGATGAAGTGAGTTTCCTAACCATGTCACTCCTGATGGAAGTGTCTCTTCCTCCTGGGAGTTTTGCCTGGCTGTCCCAGTCAGAGGGGGCCCTCCCCTAGCGTGGAAATGCAGCACCCATTCATGAAGCCAACCAGCCTTCAAACACCGCCACTCCCCCGGGTGCCTATCCCTCGCCAGGCACAGCAAATGCTCCGTGGAAACTGGGTGAAAAATTTGGGAAGTTCTTCCTTCAACACTCTAGACTCTGGATCTGCTTGCTTGAATTTGCAACATGGATACAAGCTTGGGGACTACAGAGCTGCAGCCCAAGTTTTCAGGGTGTCAGGCTCTGAAAAGAAATGGAAAGAATTCCATGCCTCTAATCCCAGTGCTTTGGGAGGCCGAGGCAGGAGGATCACTTGAGGTCAGGAGTTCAAAACCAACCTGGCCAACATGGTGAAACCCCGTCTCTACTAAAAATATAAAAATTAGCTGGGCATGGTGGGGCACACCTGTAGTCTCAGCTACTCGGGAGGCTGAGGCAGGAGAATCACTTGAACTCAGGAGGCGGAGGTTGCCCTGAGCCGAGATCGCGCCATTACGCTCCTGTGCTCTCTGTTACACTCTGAATGTGGGAAACTCCCACAGAAGGGCTGCATGCTGCCCTGGGTGCCCACAGGCCTGCCCCACAGATTTTGCATCCTGGCCGCTCACTTCCTCTGTGACTGTGGACGGGTGACTTGCCTGAGCCTGGGATTCCAGGTATGTCGGCTAGGGAGGATAATCGCAGTAGACTCCAGCTTATAACACTTTGTGAGAATTAAACAATCTTACAGCCATGATGTGCTTAGAGCGAGGCCTGGAATGTAGGCTTGTTCAGTCCCAGATGCCAACAGGATGGTGGCTAATATTTCTACTGCCAGTGCAGTGATACCAACATCTCCTAGGAGACCATGAACCATCTGTACACATGCGGGAATTCAAAGCCTGCATCTTATTTTTTTCTTTTATTTTTCAGACAGGGTCTCATTCTGTCGCCCAGGCTGGAATGCCACGGTGTGACCATAGCTCACTGCAGCCTCAACCTCCTGGGCTCAAGTGATTCTCCCACTTCAGCCTCCTGTGTAGCTGGGACCACAGGTACACACCGCTAGGTCCGGCTATTTTCTAAAAACTTTTTGTAGAGATGGGGTCTTGCTCTGTCGCCCAGGCTGGTCTCAAACTCCTGAGCTCAAGCAATCCCCATACCTCAGCCTCCCAAAGTGCTGGGGTTACAGGTGTGAGCCACTGCATCCGACCCAAAACCCACATTTTTCTGTGACACTAGACTACCTCTTTCTGCCTTCCTTGTATTTTTTTGGAGGGTAAAATTCACCTTTATTTTGAAGTATTTATGAATGCTGTCATTAGGCTATGATATATCATTAAAACATCAAGTAGTACAAGAGGTATGGGGCAGGAAGCTTTCTCCTCCTGCCTCAGACCCCCATCTCCTGTGCTCTTACCTAGGGCTGGGCCTGGCTCCAGATGCATGGGGTGCCTGTGAAAGCCTTTGCCGTCCCACACGCCTGTCCCCGGTGTGTCCCGCTCCCTGATACCCATGGAGCCTGCAGAGATGCAGGCTGCTGTGTACCTGGGGGGTTCAGCTCACCCCATATCTTGGGGAGTTGCCCACACGAGCACATACAGATGGACCTTTGGAGCTCCCACGGTCAGTGTGCTTAACACTGCCATGCAACTGCCACACTCACTATGAAAAAGTCTGAAATCTGAACGTCTTTCACAAGGAAACTCGAGGGTGCTGTAACCGCGTCCTTCTGCCCCTCTTCATCCACACTGGGGTCCAACTGCCTTCTGGTTGGAGCTCTCCCTGCCTAATCAAGCCCACATGTGGTCCCTCCCTCCCACAGGCAGGGATGCTGGAGGCCAAGGCAGTGGTCAGCCCAGGGCAAGAGCTCTCTGAGGGAGGCGGGGTACCTGTCATTTGTCTCCAAGGAGCTCTCCCATTCATCTCAGACCTGAAGAGACCATTGGGTCATATCTGCTTCACCAAAGGAGCAGAGGGTAGGAAGGAAATGGCAGACTTTTCCAGAGACAGCCCTGTGCATCACTGGGAAGAGCCCAGGTTTGGGGCGGCTGGGTCAGCACTTGATGCTGTTGTGGATGGGCCATGGGTTAGTTCTGGGAAAGTGGGCTCAGTTCTGGGAAGGGCACCCCTCTTTCACTACTTCCCAACTACAGATGGCCCCAGGACATCCTGCCAGTGTGTAATAATGTGTGGTGTTGGTCAGAGGGAAGCAGTGGGGCAAGGCTCAAGGCCCACTAACACCTTTCTCACCAACCCAGGACAACAGTCCCACTCCCCACACCGGGATAGCCCCAGCCACACTGCTGGGTGGGGCGGGTGCTGGCTTGGTTCTTCTCACTGCCCAGAGGAGGGGAGCGGGGCTGGGGTGGGAGTACGGGGTGGTGGATGTCCTAAAGGGATTTAAACCTGGCTGAAGTACAGAGCGGAGCTATCATTAATTACAAGAAAACGTTGAGCATGTGCTGATTTTCCAACCTGCTGGGACCCTGCTCATCACCGACCGCCACAGCACAGGTGTGTCTGCTGCAGTGGAGTGCCCTGAACACCCGTCAGGTCTTTCTCCATGAAAGGAATGTCTTGCTCCAGGTTCAAAACAGAGTAACATGGGTACTGTACCTGTAAGCTGTAATTAGCCTTTCCCCTAATTAGCTGTGTAATGAGTTCTGCTGTGTGCTGGAAATGAATTTTTTCTGTTCAAAAAAAGAGAAAGAGAGGAAGACGTTTGTTAAAACCCATGGTGCCATCAAGGAGGAGGTTCTTCCCAGATACACAGTGAATTAACATTTTCAGTCCTTACCATCAGCAGTGGGATGAATGATCAGGAACTGCTGTTCTTCCAGCATGGAGACTCGATGGGCTACCTTGGTCATCTGCACATGCGGGGGCAAGGGGACAGAGTTAGGGGGCTGCTCTGTGGGAAGCCAGGCGTTCTGCTTGGAAACCTGACTGAGAAGGTAGGTGAAGTGTATTGAAAACACTAAGTTCCTGGAGAACCCGGGATGCCTTATATATGCAAAGAAATGCAGGGCAGATCTCAGAAGCCCAGTGATATGGTTTGACTGTGTGTCCCCACCCAAATCTCATCTTGTAGCTCCCATAATTCCCACGAGTTGTGGGAGGGACCCAGTGGGAGATGAATGAATCATGGGGGCGGGGCTTTCCTGTGCTGTTCTCATGATAGTGAATAAATCTCATGAGAGCTGATGACTTTGTAAGGCAGAGTTGCCCTGCACATGCTTTCTCTTTGCCTGCTGCCATCCATGTAAGATGAGACCTGCTCCTCCTTGCCTTCAGCCACGATTGTGAGGCTTCCCCAGCCACGTGGAACTGTAAGTTCTCCACTAAACCTATTTCCTCTGTAAACTGCCCAGTCTCGGGTATGTCTTTATCAGCAGCATGAAAATGGACTAATACACCCAGCTTTCTCCCACATTAACTCCCTTTGTGGAAGAGGAGGGGCTGGAAGAGAAGAAGGGAAAAAGGAAGAGTTTCCTCCAACTCCAGGTAGCCTCAGAGGGCCATCATTTCACCTGGAGCCACAGGGAGCTGACTGCCTGGACGGACTCAGTTCCTTTGTCCAAGTTTCCACTCTGAAAATGCAGTGCTGCCTCGGCTGGGAGCTCTGGCCTCCCTCCCTGCACACAGCTGGAGAAACGCGGTGTCTGACAGCTGCACCAAATCAACAGGTCTGACTCGGGAGGTCACGTCAGAGAGGCTTTCTGCTACTCAGTCAAGAGCTCACTTTCGGGCCAGGTGTGGTGGCTCATACCTGTAGTCCCAGCACTTTGGGAGGCCGAGGTGGGTGGATCACCTGAGGTCAGGAGATCGAGACCAGCCTGACCAACACAGTGAAACCTTGTCTCTACTAAAAATACAAAAATTAGCTGGGTGTGGCAGCATGCGCCTATAATCCAAGCTACTTGGGAGGCTGAGACAGGAGAATTGCTTGAACCTGGGAGGCAGAGGTTGCAGTGAGCTGAGACCATGCCACTGCACTCCACCCTGGGTGATGGAGCAAAACTCCATCTCAAAAAGGAAAGAAAAGAAAAAGCTCACTCTCCCCGAGCAGCACAGCTCTGGCTGTAGTGAGAGCCAGGAGTCCTGTGCATGGCAGGTATCTGTGGACGCTGGAACTGACTCCCCCATCAAATATCCTCTTATATTCTTCCTCATCCCTCAAGTCCTATAATGGGAAATCAGGCGGAACCCAGAGAGACCATGTTAACCTCAAGCCACGGTCTGGTGGAAGGATCCTTCGGAGGTTTCTGAGTGGACTTTGGGCTGGGGAAGGCAAAGTGGGCCATACAGCCAGGGCGGGGTTGGAGACTGGCAGAGGCTGACTGGTTTCATCACATTCTTTAGCTGTGCTCAAACATACCTCGTACGCTCTGTTGTCAAGTCCGTGGAGGCCCAAGTACCTCTCGGAAAATGCAGAGGCTGCACGGAAGCAAAGGGAGGGAGGTTACCTCTGGTTTCCAGGCCCTGTGAGCGCAGCCCCCAAGCTCTAGGGAGGGCCCTGGGCCAGGTGCCGGGAGGGGGTTCAGGCTCATTCCCACTTGTCACTTGCATGGCAGATTGTTGGTTTTTTGAAAACACCTAAATCATTTGGGTCTTTACAAGGGGCCTCAGACAGTACAACGGGAACCTTAACGTGTAAGTGCCAGTGTTGCAATTTTCATCAGTACTACAGAACCTGAATTAAGCAAAACCCAGTTAATCTGATTCCTAAATAAATAGGAGAACCTCCTCCTTCAACACTTAGGAAGGGCATGGGTGGTGAGAGCACGTTTCCATCAAGATTTACTTATTTTTTAAAAAGTCCAGGCACATCCCTGCTCTTGGTTCTGCATGAGGCCCTGCGGTCACAGCTGGGCAACAGGAGGAGTGTGAGGGGCTTCTCCCAGGGCTGAGGGCGGAAAGGACTCCGCACAGTGTCCCCGGCCTGCAGGGTAAGCCTGAGGGCGCCCGGGAGACAATGAAGAGGACTGGACTGGCTGGTTTTGGGCACAGTGACCCATCAAGACACGATGGCAGCTTTTATGTGCGTTTGAATCAGACACATCTGAAACAGCATGGTGAAAGAATTCAGAAAGTCTCACTCAACTTGAAGGTGCCCCCCACATTCCCGAGGAAAAAGTCCTCTTACATGATTCACATTTTGGAGCAGGAGAGTTCCTGTATCATGATGAGTTGAAATTTGCACTGGAGCGAGCCCGTTGTGAAGGTGTTGGGAGACTTGGCTGCACCAGCCAGGAGGCTGCTGGGCCCACCGTGGTCCCTGCCTTGCTGGGCGGTGTCTACAGGGCTCGGCCAGCATAGCAGGGCTGGGGCTAGGTGTGGCAATGAGGCTGGACTCGTTCCTCTAACCCGCAGGGAATGTCAGGCTCCGGCAGGGCTGTGGTGGACCAGCAGCAGGAAGCCCCCTCCATTTCCACCTCACTTGCCAGCGCTGCTTAGGGTGGGGACAGCTGGAGTGAACAGCCTGGCTGCCACGGAGCCCTGACCTGAATGCAAGTTCTTGGAGTCACAGAAAAGACCTCTGTGTATATTCTAAGAAATGCGTTCAGGTCACAGAGCCACTCCCATTCGGAGAAAAAGGATTAGGTGATCATAAGGAGGAGAATGCAGGGGCCTGGAGCCCCCAAACACAGCAAAGCCCTTCTATGCCTGGACAGAGGTCTGGTTCCCACACCTGGGTGGGCTCATCTCCATCTGGTCCCCACAGCAGGTCACCCTGACTCCGTCTCTGCCTTGTGCCCATGGAAAGCCACACTCTCTGAGGACAGGTGCTGGCCAGGTGCCCTCTGCATGGCCAGGGAGATAGGAAGGCAGAGCTGAGCCACGTGGACCTCTGCTGAATCGCTCTCCGGTGGCCATTCCCTCTCAACCATCCCTTCTTTATCCGGTAACACCTGCCTACCAAATACCATGCCCAGGCATAGAACTCAGGGCAGGGCCCTATCCGGATTCTGGGAGCAGAGAAGGAAGGTGGCCCGGCAGAGCCTGCGGCACCTGCTCCCCTCCTGCACACCCTGGCTTCCTTGCCCCACCGCTGCCGGCGGAGCACTAGCTGTTTCCAACTCGTGGTCTTCTTCATTGTGATGTGATTTGTAGGCATCTGGGGGTTGACCACTTTCATTCAAAACATCACCTGAGACCCTTCCCTCTCCTTCCCCGGGTTCTTCCGTCAGCCCAAGGTGGCGACTGTGGACTGGAGGCACCTATGGTTAGAGGGACGGTGGTGCTGAAGGGAAGGCTGTGGGGCCACGCGGGGAGGGGGCGGGGCCAGGGTGGGGGGCCGGTGGGGTCCGGTGCTTGGTTCTGCGGGGATATTTACCGTAGAGTTTGAAGTCTGTTATTGGAGAGAGAGCAGAGCCGCAGGTGAACGTCTGGCCTTGATTTTCTCCCTTCGCTGGGAGGATGTAGGTGCTCAGGTAGCCACCGTAATCCTGGAGAGAACGCAGAAAGAAGACAGTTCGGAGTCCTGGCGGTAACTCAGCATGAAGCAGCCTCGGGCAGGGAGACAGCCCCAGAGCAGCCAGTTCCATGCAGGTTCTCGTTTTACAAAATGTGTCACTTGGAAAGTTGTTTACGCGGCAGTAACAAGAGATGAAAAGCAAACTCCCTTCCAATTCAGCATTATGTGATGTGCGCCTTCTCCGCTTCTGGGCCTTGGTGTCAAGGGACGTGAGGATGAAATGCGATGGCGAATTGGAAAGGTAAGTGCGGACTGCACAGGTGTAAGGTGCTGTCCTTCCTGCTCAGCGTCTCTCTACGGCATTTTTTGCTGCTTCCCTTGTCTATGGACGAGGCCAAACCATTGCACACGATTCTGAGGGAGGGGCCAACAAGTGGCTTAGGGTGCAAGTCCTGGTCCGCACATACTCAGCACAGGGCCGACATGAGACGGACGCTCCCAGGTATTCTGTATTCAGGTAAGTCCTAGACTCCTGCCCTGCCCTGCCCTCGGTGGGGATGAGGATGACCACGGCCCAGGCTCCCTGCCTTTCAGCGGCCAGTCTGCTGGGAAGTCACTTCCATGGGGGTGGGGAGAGGTGATGGCCTACTGACACCCAGGTCACACCCACCAATGACCCAGTGGTTTCGGGCCTCACAGGCAGCGAGTGGACCTCTAGGCGCCTGGAATGCACCTCTAGGGCTCTGTGCCTGGGCTCTGAACAAGGAGAGAAGCCACCCGCCCTCCTCTTGGCTGCCTCACCTCCAGCAGGTAAGGAGGAGGTGTGGGAGGGCTCCTGCATCCCCTGCTTCTGGGAGCAGCCCACAGGGCAGGGCTGGGTCTCCAGTGCATGCTGGGCTCTGAGGTTTTGGAGGCGATGACGTAAGAGGCACTGTGCTGATTACTTGTCCAAGCCTTCACCGCGGGGGCGTCACGGCAAGGCCTCCTCGGCAGGGCCTGTGCCGAGGGTCACTCTCCGAGGGAAGATGGGTCTGTGCTGCCCCATCTGTGTGCTGGCCTTCTTGAGATCAAGAGGCCCCAGGTCTAGGCTAAGGAGAATGAGGGGCCAGGTACCAGAGCCATAGCAGGTGGCCGTGCAGGGACCTAACTCCAAACCGTGGGCCTCAGCTACAGCTGAACTGTCCCAGGCTCCAGCCTTCTGACAAGGGCCACCAGTTGGGAGTGGCTCTGGTTTGAGAGTTCACTGCGCGACCCTCCCCACACCTGTCCTTCTGCCTAAGTAGACGTGGTAATCAATGTTGTTACTGCATATCAAGATATCCAGAAATAGATTCCTGCTTCCCTTCTTTCCTGGGCTACCATGCCAAGAGCTACAGCAGGTGGATGGGAGAAAAGTCATTAGGAACGTATTAGAGCTCTCCTGCGGGGACCTGGCTTCTCTTCTCTTTCCTTCCAGATAATGTAAAAAGAAACTTTGAAAAATGAGCTGATGAAATGAAACCTCCCACGGCTGGAATCACTGAGCACTCAGGCTCTTGCTTTAAAAAAATAATTACTTGCTCACCAGCAGACCACAGACGTTCTCAAAAATCAGGATCAGGCCTGGGTAATGGTGCAGGCCACATTGGAACCGAGAGATGTTCAGACCAGGGTGGCTCAGACTCACCTTCCCGAACACGGCCACGCGCGTCCTGTCGATGTACTGCTCCTTCAGCATCGTCCTGTGAGGTCGAAGAGGGGAGAGAGGGTTCAGGGCACATCCTGCTGGTCCTTTGTCTCCCTGTGGTCTAGAGCCATGTTTTCCATCCATTTCAAGGATGAAAACCCCTCTTCAAATAAAAAGCAACCTTAGCATTCCAATATAATTATTTATTGCTTTTATTTATTTAGTGCCAAGTCAGTATGTTCACATTAAATATTCAAAGCACCCTTGCAGTAACTCTAGCACTTCCAGGTGTAGAAGCTTCTCGACCGTGAGCTGTTAATCCACAGCTGTAGAGCCCCTTCTGGGAGACTCAGCCCCTGCTACATGGGGTCCACCTGCTGCTATTGGGCCCTCACCCAGAGCCTGTGACTCCAAGCACGCGGGCTCTGGGATGAGCCTTAGGGGTCGGCAGGGATCTGTGGAGCTCTGGTTCTATGCTTCTGGGCTCAGAGTCAAGCCAGTGAGCCCCCATTCCACCGGCACAGCCCTCTGTTCCCAATTCCTGGGAGGAGGCTTCTGTCTTGCACCTGTTTGGCCACAGAGGGATTCTTCCCGTGAGCTTCCTGCTACGGCCCAGCCTTGGCAGCACCCACTGGGTGCTCTGGGCCTCAGTGCGCTGGGCCAGCGCTGCCTGGGTCCCTGCCTCACCCTTGCTGGGACCTTGCTCCACACCGTGGTCTTCTGCTTCCCCCACGAAGTGGCTGGGGTCCTTCCGGTTTCTGGACCTCGACCAGCAGCAGGACGCCTGCAGGCTGTGGGCTTGTTAGGTGGAAATTGTTGTCTGTCTGGATTTTACCTCAAGCTAAGCCATAATATCAAGTGTGGAGTTAGAGATATTTTTAGACATTTTCTAGTAAAGAGGAGAAAATATAATTTCTTTTCTCAATGCTATGAGTTCCTGGTCGAGACACTCTCACTGTCCTGAAAATGGAAGTCAGATGAACAAGAGGAAAACCAGAAGAGGTTTCCTGGCGTGCGCTGTGCCCTGCCCATGGCAGGGGCCTCGATTCCAGTGCCTCTCTCAAGGCAGTGGCTTAGGGGCCCTGCTTACATAGTGTTTTAACAAAGAGCGATAACTCTCGGCATAGTGACCTGGCAAAGGAGAGAGCAGCTCCAGTCTTTATTTATTTATTTATTTAAGACGGAGTTTCGCTCATTACCTAGGCTGGAGTCCGGTGGTGTGATCTAGGTTCACTGCAACCTCTGCCTCCCAGGTATAAGCGATTCTCCTGCCTCAGCCTCCTGAGTAGCTGGGATTACAGGTGCGCACCACCACACCCAGCTAATTTTTGTGTTTTTAGTAGAGATGGGGTTTCACCATGTTGGCCAGGCTGGTCTTGGTTGAACTCCTGGCCTCAGATGATCTACCTGCCTGGGCCTCCCAAAGTGCTGCGATTATAGGCGTGAGCCACCGCACCTGGCCTCCAGTCTTTGAAAAGGAGGGAACCTGTGAGAAGGCAATGCAGTCTGCCCCCAGAGTCCCTGGCAACGGCTGGGCCCTCTCTGGGCTGGTGAGCAGGTGCCGTCCCCAGGAAGGAAGGATGGATGTCCTGGTGTCTGCTAAACACGGGCAGAGGCAGAGACTCCCTGTGTTTTCAGTGTCTTTCACTTATCAGGTCTCAGTATTTTGGGGAGAACTATTTTGGCTTCCTCCACTAGCTACGTGAACAAATGAATAAATAAAAATAAGGCATTTCTGTTGTTTCTTAGCACATGGTCCAGGGTGTCTGTGTGTATACACATGAGCACATAGGATCCAAAAGAAAAAATGGTGAAGAAAATCCCAAGTTGAGCCCAGAGACAACATGTCTCTGGGAGACAGGAGCCCACTGGACCCAGTCGGGGGTTTACACAGCTGCCCCCCACCGTCCACAGGGGTGGGGCGAGTTCCCTTCCACAGCTCATCTCAGCTGCTTGTGGGAGGCTGCCCCTGTGGGCTCCTCGGTGAGGATACGGTGGCGGCAGACGGGGGCACTGTGGGAGAGGGAGGAGTCAGGCTAAGGCGTCAGCCTCATGATTTTAGCCTTCTGATAAAATTGGGCTGTTTCCTTCTGATGAATGAAAATGCAGACCTCGTTCCTAAGGAGAGCGGAGAGAGGCTTTCTGTGGCTTAGCGCCGTTGGGCATCAGCTTCCTAAGAAAGTCTGCGCTTTGGCAGCGGCTCTAAGATTTGCCGTTGTCCGCGTGCTCCCATTCTTGAGCTCTGGTGGTTTAGGAGCTGGCATTGTTGGCTCTTTTCCTGGAACAGGTTCTGCCTTATTTTGGAACAGATGCTTGGGCCCATTCCTTCCTTTTAGGGCACGATGTGGGTGAAACACCTTTGCCCTCTAATTCCTTTGCTCTTCGGGGAAGATGCCAGGCAGAGCCAAGTGTCGAAGGGGAGCCTGAGGGTGCTGCGACCTTCCCCTGGGCCTGCCCTTGATGGCGGGGAGGCTCCAGGCTTCCAAACCTCCCTGGGAGGAGGTAGAGCAGGTGGGGAGAGGAAAGCAGGAGATGGCAGGGGAAGCCACGCACAAATGGAAAAGATCCAAAGGAGGAGGTCAGGGAAGCCAGGAGAGCCCTCGAGCCCTTAGCCAGAAAGCCAGGCCCACTCCACTCCAGAGCACAGCCTGGGCTGGCTTCCGTGTCCTGGGAGTTCTCTGTGGCTGGCACTGCCGACTGCGGACCCAGCAGTCACCCGCCCATCCTCCTTCCACACTGAACCCCAGCGTGCCCTTGTCACCCCATGTCCTCTGCTCAGGAGCTGGCCCCACACTGGTGTCAGGTGGACCCACTTGGTCTCTGGGGAGCTGCCTGCACCTCTCTCTCTCGTGGCACATTCTGGAATGGGCAGGGGAGGGCCAGGGAGGTGGAAGGAGAGGTTTGCTGTCTGCTTCTGGGGAGACTTTCCTTCCTTTCTGGAAGTTTCTAAAAGTGTTCTCTCCCCAACCTGCTGGAGGTAGATGAAGCAGCATGGAGCCAGGTGCTACTGAGGGCCATCCATGAGCTGGGGGCTTGGCTTAGGATGAGGCCATCATGGCTGGTTGGACGGAGCGATAGAGAGAGCCTGGGTCTTCGGTGACATTGTTGGTGTCTGGATTCATCAACCCTGAGGCCTGACATCCCTATATCTTTCATAGCCAATATAGTTCCTTATCTGAGGGGTGTGTGTGCGTGCGCAAGCACACATGTGTTGTTGTAGTCATTGACTTCCAGGCAAAGGCGTCCTGGCAGACACTCCTTCCCTGAGTATCTGAGTCCTGACTGCTTGCCTGCTCTGTATTTCCCACCTGCAACATGGGTTTCTGAAGCAATTGCTTTGTCTGCCATCACCTAGCTCATAGCTCCCTGGAGGGGGGCCATTCATTTACACACTCATTGTTTTCCACTGAAAGACCATTTACTGAGTACATACCAGGGGCCATCAATCTTTTTCAAAATGAGAAGAAATGTTTTGAAAGTCAGTTAAGTAAAAATTTTCAAACCACAGAGCACCCTGGTATAACAGGTACAGAGATGCCAGGTTTCCTATCATCCTCCAGGCAATAAGCGTGTACTGAGCTGGGCTCTGTGCTCCACCCTCCTCCTGTGCCTGGGCCCAGCCTCATGCTCCCCTGCCCGTGACGGTGCTGATCATGGTCACGGCGGGGGTTCCTGGTAGATGCGCTTCTCCCTGCCTTCTTGTCATTCCCAGAACTTGAGTCCACAGTCCGTGGAGTTGTTCCTGCAGCATCTCTAAGGGGTGAAGTTAGAGTAAGTGCTGTGGTCCTCTGTGCCATCAGACTGTGAAAACTCTTCTATAAAATGAGCCTGAAGGCCAGCCGCAGCCTAGCACAGTGTCTTATTGTGTTTTCTTAGTTCCAGTGCAACAATAAGATTCAATAAGTCATTTGGAGCATCTGCCCCTTGGTGCTAAGCCTTTTTTTGTTTTCTGTGATGTCGGTTGCTCTTGCTGAGTTAGTGATAGGGATGCACAGGAATGACGGAACAAAAGCCTGCCCTTCCTCAGAGCCGGGGAGGGCATTCTGGCCCCACCTGGCTGTGCATGGAGGTCCTGCTCTCAGTAATGAGGGTGACCCATTTCCACGGATCCAGCCCCGTTCATATTCCTTCCCTTTTCCTGTCCTTCCTTCCTGATCTCGTCTCTCCTCCCCTTGGGATAAATGGCAAAGACATGCACGGACACTGACCCAGGTCAGTGACCACAGCGCAGAAAAGCCTAGCAGACCAAACTGGCAATTTCTAGACCCTTGTTTTAGTCAACTCAATAATCTACCCTGCAGTGGGAAAACTAGGTATAAACGTCACTAGGAGAAGATTCCTAACAGTTTCCTTTGAAACTTGCTTTGGAATGGCCAAGAGTTTTTAGGTAAGAGCAAATTGCATGCAAAATGTGTGCACAGACAAAAAGCATTCCCACGCGACGACTGCAGCACAGCCCCCATGAGGAGCCCCGTCCCCTCCCGGCCTCTCCTGCTTCCCGGGCGGGTGCTCACCGCACGGCCTCCATCTGGTCCTTCTCCTCCAGCAAGCCTAGCCGCCGCCTCACTTCGTGCAGGAGCTTGGTCCCTTGGAAGCCGCTGCCGCGGCCGTCACACTTTACCACCACTGCGCCGTGGCTGCTCACCATCACCGTCTCCCAGTTCACCTCGAACTTCTCAGACACGCTCTGGCTCCCCGGGGTGCCATCCCTGGAAAGAGAGTCCCGGGCTCAGCAGGCCTGCTATGTGGTGGGTGGCGGCTGGTTTAGAAGCTGCCACATCAGATGACCCCCGTAAGGGATTTTACCCGTGACCCGGCTACCACACACTCAACTCCATACTCCAGATTCTGCTGCCCTGGGCAGGTGAGCCAGGTGTTATCCATACCCCATAAGGCAAGGAGGAAGAGGAGACCTCCAAGAGCCTAGGGCTCCCAGGGCCATGCCTAAACACACCGGTACTGTGAGGGACAGCCACCAAAGGGCATGTATTTGGTGAGGGAAACAATAAAAATCCTCCCAACTTTTCCCTTTGGGGGACTTTCCCTACACTGCAAGACGGTTTCTCTTTCCTGGGTTCTAGATGCCCCAGGCTGTGCCCCTCAGTACCCATCACAAGTGACAAGGCTGTGCTGACTCTAGCCACATCCCTGGCTTGAAGACGTGGTCTGTCTGTTGTTAATTTCGAAGTAACAGCAAACCCGCCATATGGGTTGCCTTTCTTCCTCCCTCTCCTCGGGAGTCGAGAGCCATTAGCCCTGGGCAGTGTGGCCTCTGACCTGGGCTGACAGCTCCCACTGTGCTCTCCTCCAAGCTCCTCATTTGCTAGCCCGGCACTGCTGGCTGAAAGGCATCCATGGTGGGACATTTGGACCATGGGATTCGACCAGCGCCACAAACAGGGCTGCTTTCTTTTTCCTCAAACAGGGCTGTTCCCTCCCTCCCTTCTCTCTTTCCTTCCTTCTCGCTCTCTGTTTTTTTTTTTTTTTTTTTTTTTTTTTTTTTTTGGTTTGAGACAGGGTCTCACTCCGTTGGCCAGGCTGGAGTGTAGTGGCACAATCTTGGTTCACTGCAGCCTTGACCTCTGGGGCTCAAGAAATCCTCCCACTTTTGCCTTCCAAATAGCTGAGATCACGGGCATGTGCCACCTTGCCTGGCTAATTAAAAGAAAAATCTGTTACTCTGTAGAGATGGGGTCTTGCTATGTTGCCCAGGCTGGGAACAGGGCCATTTTCTATGCAGGACTGGTTGTTCCTCATTGACCAGCATACTCATGGGTGTGGGGAGGTTTTTAAGTGATTTTCCCTCTTGCTGGGAAAAGCATGCACAGGAGAGAAAGCCAGCCCCAGGTCCAGCCTGCCTCCCTGGAACAGCAACAGGGAGCAGTGCCCCTCCTGCGAGTGGATCCAGCCAGGTGACGGCTCCGACCACCGGCACTGTCCCAGCTGTCCGCCAAGGACTGAGGAGTGGGGTCGGGGCGGGCAGGAGGAGCGGGCCAGGAGCGGCGCGCTGGAGTGCTGCATGCTTAGGGTCCTGGTCAGTCATGGCGCTGCTCTATGTTGAGGGTGTGTTTGTTTTCTTTTGGATTTTGTAATTTGAAGCAGGGGCTCAGATCTCCTTGCTATCACATTTGATGTCATAGCGAGAAACAAACAAAAAGACACAGCCTCCAAGGAAAGCTTGTGAGGCCAGAGTGAGTGTGTGCCCAGGGGGTGGGGTTGCCTGTCCCTGTCCCAGCTCAGCAGAGCTCAGCTGTCTCCACCTGGCACAATCACTTTTACCTCTGAAGGGAAAGTGAATCGTTTTGTAAACTGAAAAGCTTTTGGGGATTTCCTTTAAGATCACTGAAGAAACCAGTGGGCAGGGGAAGAAAGCTGGTTCGGAAGTTGTTAGCATCCTGGAGAAAGTGGGGGAAATCTGGTTTTACCCCACGTGTGTGGGGTGTGTGGGTGCGTGTCTGTGTGGGGGTGGGGTGTGGGTGTGTGGGATTGTGGGTGTGTATAGATGTGTATGTGTGTGCATGTGTGTATACACATACGTGTGCCTATTGGTGTGCACGTGTGTGCTGCATGTGGCTATGTGTGTACACATGTGTGTGCATGTGTGTGTATGTGGGTGTATGTGTGCGTGTGGGTGTGCATGTGTGTGCTTATGCAGGTACGTGTGTGTGTGCGTGTGTGCACATGTGGGTATGTGTGTGCATGTGCGTGTGCCTGTGTGTGGGTGTGTGTGCTTGCAGGTGTATGTGGGCGTATGTGTGCATGTGGGTGTGCATATATATGTGCTTATGTATGCAGGTGCGTGTGTGCGTGTGTGCGTGCGTGTGTGCACATGTGGGTGTGTGTGCATGTGCGTGTGCCTGTGTATGGGTGCGTGTGTCTGCATGTGGGTGTGCATGCGTGGCTGCTGGGAAAGTGTGAGAGCAGTCCAGATATTAAGGAAAGTGGGTTAATTGCAAAACGGAATCAGCTATTGGAATCTGTGCCCTGGGGCGTTTCTATAATGGAACCTTTTTGCTATTTAGGGACTCAGCCCTCAGGAAAGGAGCCGGGCAAGACACCAGGGTTAATCTGCTCCATCAGGTTCCGGCGTTTCCTCAGGGGGTTGCTGCACTGGCATCCCTAATACAGCCCGGCACAGGCCTCTGCTTCCGCCGGCTCTCCCAGGCTACAAGGGCTGTGGGAGTTTCTCCTGCTCCATGGTCTTGAAAAGACAGACCAGGAGGTGCACTGGGGCGCTTGCTCAATGGTCCGGGTGGCCCCCTCTGCACTGCCTCCCCGTGCGGTGTGAGCACGTGGGCATCACCTAGACTCAGGGCTGTCACGCAGCATTGGAACCTATGCACAGGGCACTGGGCCGGCTCCTAGCACTCAGTTCCCTAATCAGACCCAACATCTTCAACACATTTACAGAGCACAAAAAGTTGTTCTCAAAACCCAAACTGGAGGCTTTATTAATGAACATAAGAGCTGAAAAAATTCTTTGCTGGCGAAGAAAGAGCATTCCGGACAGTGGCCAGAAATGCCAGCCAGTGAGACCCACAGGCTCAGGGTGCAGGTCCCAGGCTCTGGCCATCTTGTGTCTCTGTGTCTTGGGACCTGTCCCCTGCCTGCCTCCGGTGAGCCTGTCATGCAAGATGCCACTATGATGATCCCAGCAGCCTCGCTTTATAGTCACAGAACCTGAGGCAGCCTCGGGAGAGGCGGTGGGTACATAGCACCCGCTTTCTTTTAACCTCTGAGTGAGCACCAGGGAAAGACAGACATGACGATACTTACACCACCAGGAGCAGAGGGTAGTGGGTGGTGTCGGTGAAGGTTGCTGGCTTCAGGATCTGCATGGGCAGGTCTGGGGAGAAGCAGAGCACAGCATGGGTTAGGGCGCAACGCTGGCCATGGGGTATCGGGCATGCCCTTGGGTGACCGTGGGGGTGAGGGTGCTCTGGATCGGGCCTGAGGGGAAGCCCACAGGACAGAGACTGGCCCAGGGTTTTCATCCTGAGGACTCTGGCCTGCTGTGCGACCTTGGGCAAGTCACCCAACCTGTGTGAAGCTTCATTTCTCTGAAGCTTCCGTTCAGTCTTGCATATGGGAGCACACTGAATGCACAGAAGACTCAATGGCCTGGGCACTTGCCAGCAGCAGAATTTCAGGCAGGGAAATATGGTGCCCTGAGAGGGGGCAGGTTGCCTGCAGCAACAAAGCATCTCTCAGCATCTGATCGGGGATGCTGGGGATGGATATTTGGGAGCAGGGAGGCAGGGAGAGGAAGAGACAGAGTGTGGGGTGAAACAGGGGGCCGCCTAGAGGGGAGAGGGTGCCGGCCCATGGCAGTGCCTCTGTGCAGAGCAAGGTGGCTCTGTGGGTCTCGCTGTTGGTAGGTTTGTGCTGGGTGGCTCTGTAGCTCTGCTGCGGCCACAGCTAGAGGACGCCAGGGAAGGATGGTACAGCCCGCTGGATCCTGCGGTTACCAAGGTCACTGGATCTGATTCTCAGCAGCGTGAAATCCAGTGGGTGAGGGAGACTGGGTAGGAACCAAACCTCAAAAACCTGCCTCACCAATTTCTTCTGCACCCCCCCACCTCCCAACAAACCTTCCCATCCAAGTTGGAATTTATTTATTGATGTTAACTACGACCCAGATTACCAAAGGCACAGCAATTAAATTGGAATTAGCGGTTTTTCAATACAATGACTACACAGATACACTGCAGGCTTGGGAGGCTGGCTGGGCAGCCAGCTCTGACCTGGCGTCTCCTGACTGATTCGGGCTGAATGTTAATGGCTTGCAAATTGGCTCAATGGCCCAGGGACTAGCGGAGAGGCAGGCCTTGGACTTCATCATTTAAATTCCATAAAACATGGTCTGGGCTGCTCCCTGCCACTGATAAGCCCAAGGGCAGACCTTGGAAACTGGGTTCTGACTGGCTGAAAACATTTCAGGGGAGCCCTTCTGGAAGATGTCCTACTTTTCTAAAAGAAAAAAAAAAAAGAAAAGAAAAGCATTAGCCTCTGGTAGCACAAAATGAAAAAACAAAACCAAGCCAGGTCGGTAGGGCTGACATCTTTCAGATTTCCTGCGATCCCTAAGGGGGTCTTCCTGTTGCCGGGCTCATACAGGCGCCCCACATCCTCTCCTGGCATCTGTACCCACCTACCTTTCAAGGAAACCCCCTGCAGGACAGAGTGTGTGGCAAGGGTGGGGAAGCTGGCTTTGTGCTTCGAAAGGTCTTTTCTGCATTTCCTAAGAGGAAGGGATGACAGTCACACACCAGTGCTGCAGGCTTGGGAAGCGTCACTGGGACAGCAGTGGGTAGAGGGGGCTGGAGGGGGAGGCCAGGTCTAAGGAGCTCAGAAAGGAATCTTGCCAGGGTGATGGCCTGGCTGCCAAGGCTGCTGAGGAGGCAGAACAGAGGAGCTTCAGAGACATGCCGGGGCAATGGTCTCACCATTGGGCTGGGATAATATACACACAGTTTTTTTTTTTTTTTGAGATGGAGTCTCATTCTGTCACCCACGCTGGAGTACAGTGGTGCGATCTCAGCTCACTGCAACCTTCACCTCCTGGGTTCAAGCGATTCTCCTGCCTCAGCCTCCCCAGTAGCTGGGATTAAAGTGTGCACCACCACACCCAGCTAACTTTTGTATTTTTTGTAGAGACAGAGTTTCAGCATGTTGGTCAGGCTGGTCTTGAACTCCTGACCTCAAGTGATCCGCATGCCTCGGCCTCCCAAAGTGCTGGGATTACAGGCGTGAGCCACTGCGACCGGCCAATACACACATTTCTTGGCCAAAGCGATTGTCATAGCATCCATTTTTTGTTTGTTTGTTTGTTTTTGTTTTTTGAGAGAGAGTCTCACTCTTTTGCCAAGGCTGGAGTGCACTGGTGCGATCTCAGCTCACTGCAACCTCTGCCTTCCAGGTTCAAGTAATTCTTGTGCCTCAGCCTCCCAAGTAAATGGGATTACAAGCACATGCCATCACGCCTGGCTAATTTTTGTATTTTTTTGTAGAGACGGGGTTTTACCACGTTGGCCAGGCTTGTCTTGAACTCCTGACCTCAAGTGATCTGCCATCCTCAGCTTCCCAAAGTAATGGGAATACAGGCATAAGCCACCGTGCCCGACCTTTGTTTATAGTTTTCTTGAGTTTCTCTTCTTCCTCCTCTAGGCTGGGCATGATGGCTGACACCTGTAATCCTGGGACTTTGGGGGGACTGAGGCAGGATTGCTTGAGCCCAGTAGTTCAAGACTAGTCTGGGCAACATAGTGAGACCCTGTCTCTACTAAAAAAAAAAGAAATAATTAGTTGGGCATGGTGGCCTGCCTGTGGTCCCAGCTACTCAGGAGGCTGAGGTGGGAGGATCACTTGAGCTCGGGAGGTCAAGGCTACAGTAACCCAAGATTGTACCACTGCACTCCAGCCTGGGGGACAGAGTAAGACTCTGTCTCACACACAGACAAACACAAAATTATTCTCTTTCTTCTAGACCGTTCCCTACTCATTTCCTTCATGCCCCCTTCCGTGACGTAGTCACCTTCAGGGTATTTTAAGAGACAGAGCCTCCGGACATGTAAGTGTGTTGGGGGCTGGGGCGGATTTGAAGTGCATCAAAATTCCAGAATGTTCTGACTTTCAGAGGTGAACGCAATGTCCGGAAAAGTTCTGATAGAGCATAGCTTCCTACGGCCAAATGGCAGGGGCAGGATTTTTTGGCCCGGGGCCTGTGGTGGGCTGCAGGGAGGGCGTGGCAAGCACAGGGGCGTGAGGGTCCCTGTGCAGGGCCCACACCTGGGCTGTCCTGCAGGCTGGGACTCCAGGGCAGCCTCCAGACCCAGCCACAGTGAACTGCACTTGCTCTTGCCCAAGCCCCTAAGCCCCTCACGTTGCCCTCTTCTCTGGATTGTACTCTCGCCTCTTGTGAGCCCACCCGAGGTTGACTCTAGGGACCATGTTCAAGTCCCACATTCTGTGAGCATTCCCAACACGTCCCCAGCCCAGTCTCAGGCTCTTCTCTGAACTCTCGTGCTGTTTGCTTTCCGCTCTACGCAACGCAGCTTTGCAGCACGTACTGTTGAGGGGACCTGTTTTTGTTTCATGGGGTGAGCCTTGGTTCCTGCTCTTGGGAGCTGAGTCTGTTAGGTGGTTGTGTCTCCTCTAAGCTGCTGAGCACAAGGGGGCTGCCAGCGAAGATGCCAGGCCCCAGGCGACACGCCACTGTCTAGTGTCGGGGAAGGGCAGACAAAGAGGTTCCAGAGACAGTCTGGGGATGGCAAAGGCAAGGTGTGTGGCTCCTCCCCGCTGCCCTTTCAGCTCCGTGTTACTTATCAGCCTCAACACACTTTCCCCCTGAGCCCTGGAAACCTTCTCTTTCAACAAAGCACTCCTGCAGTTACTATCAGGCAGTCAGAGTTCACACAGGAGGGAAACCTGTTTTCAGCCTCGGAGGTGATGGGCAAGCGGCGTCTCCACTTCAAGGTTTGAAGTCTCAGTTATTTGACACCAACCTACCACCAAAAGGCTGCTATGCATCGATGTGGGGAAGTCTGGAGGGGGACAGAGTTCTGGGGGAAGACAGTGAAATCTGCTGTGGGCATTTTACACTTGAGGTTTCCAAGAGTAACAACCTGGTGGGCAGTTAGGACACGGGGCCAGCCGGGTTGAGGCTCCCAAGCTCTGCCTCCCTCCTGGAGCTGTGAATCCAGGTCCAGCTAATGCTGTGGGGTGTTTAGTGCTTAACAACGCCTAGCACAGAGTTAGTGCCCAGGAGAACTTACCGAACGACTGGAGGGACAGTTCAAGGAAAGAAGGGCACAGGCACAGAAAGGCAGCGTGAGAGGCATTTCCTAGGAAGTAACAGCACTCAAACCTCCTCACGTAAACTCCGGCTGCAAGGACACCCCTCATCAGCCCACCCTCCACCAGCTGATGAGGCAGGAAGGACTTCAGATGGCACAGAAAGGGAATTTCCAGAGGGAAGAGGTTTCTCTGGACGGTGTCTTGACACGGTCACCAAAGAAGGAGAGCGCTGGAGTCTGCGATCTTGCTTTGAAGCAACTGTCAGCCTCTCAGGGAGAGAGATCCTGTGCCCTGCTTTTTTTTCATTTTGTCACCAGAGTGAGCATCTTGGTTCTGAACATGAGACGCTCCATGCCAGAGGAGCTACAGGGCAGAGATACACCCCCGTGCTCGGGGAACCTTCTGTGCACGGTGCCTGCTGCTGATGACTGCACTGTGTCCGAGCCCACGTTTTCTTTCTCTTTTTCATTCTTTTTAAAGGAGAAAAATGTAGTACTTACTATAATCATCAATCTCGATGTTCCTGTATTCCACTTTAGGCATCTGTCGGTCATTTATGGCCTTCTTGACATGTTCATTTGTTTCTAGGTCAAACATTTCTGAAAGAGAGGAAACAGGGACACGCTGAGATGCAAGGGTCACTCACGGAGGACCTCTGTGGGCCGTGGCTTTTCATGTGCGTAGACTGCTGCTTTCATCAGCATCGGAGGTGGTTGTTATTATTTCTAGTGTACAGACCAAAAAACTGGGCATTAAAAAACATGCTCAAGTTATGCACTCAAAAGCCTACTCTGAAATCTGGGATTTGGGCGGATTAAGGATTCTCCCCACTGTCCTAGGCTCTCTCCTTCTCCCACCAGAGGTTTTTGTTCTCCGTGGGGTCACACGCACAGGTTTTGGTATGATTCTCCCCATGACTGCTGGTTTTAGGAAAATCTACATTACACATCTGTTAGGACAAATGGTTTTCCAAAAATTGTGGCCATAATAACTAGAAAAGGAAAGGAAGGTGGAAACTAGGGTGTCATCTTTATTAAGTGTTCCCAGAAATAAAATGGATTCTGATCTCTCTCCTAAAACAGAAGATAAGGTGGTCTCTGGACAGACCTTAACTTCGATGACTGTATTTGTGGACAGTGGAGTCGTGTGAGCCTCGCTCCACACTGTGGTGGGACTGGCTGTCCTCCCTCCATGGTAGAGACCAAGGTCAGTTCTGCACTGCGGCGTGGATGCGCTGGACCTTTGTGCCTCAGGCTGCCACAGCACACACACGTCCTCGTTATCTATTTCTTCAAATGCAAAGAAGTCCCCTGAGGAGCCCACTCTGTTCATCTACTGCAATGGCCATTCTACTTCATTTCATCGTCTGATGTGTCATCAAAACCACCCAACTTCCTTTCTCCCTTCTCACACTAAGCCTACACATGGGGACAACTTGTGGTTCACTGTGAAAGGGAATTTTCTGCAAGGAACTTTGCCTTTGGCTCGTCAGATCACTTTGAAGCAGCTGTAATTTGTGCATTTGTTTAGAGTAAACGAATGATCACAAACAATGCTAGAATGGATGTGCAATCATCCTCCCATATAACTCCCTTGGAAAGAAAAAAAATGCTGCTCTGACGCTCTGCAGGTGGGCGCTTCTCCGGGGCAGCTGGAGGTCAAATGACTGCCCATCGCTAGGAGACTCTGGACGTGTGGCTTAGTGTGGAGAACATGGGGCTGCGGCTTTATTCAAGAACTGTGCCCAGCAGGCCTGGCAACCTTCTGTAGAGGAACAGAGGGAAATGGAAGCTCCCAGTGCTTGTGATGCGTAAATAAGATGAAAATGACTTGCGAGTTGCTGGACACATGTTTGAATATTTAGCTTTGATTACAAAATAAGGGGAGAAATGGTGACATTCGTCTTCAAACAGGTAGAGTTTTAACAAATCTGATGTTGGACCACCACTGGGAAAGATTTCGAACACCATGTAGCACACAAGAAACGTGTCCCTTGCAGACAGCAGGAAACACAGCTGCGTTTGCAAGGGCTGTCTGCAGTGGTGAAGTCCGAGGGAAGCCCAAGTAGACTTGACCTTAACTCTGAGACCCAGAGACCTGGCTGCAGAGGTGGCGTGCTCTCCCTCGCCGTCATGCACGTGAGTTAGGGGAGTGCACTCCACGCCAAGGCGCCTGCATGCCTCCGCGCCAGCTTCACAGCCTCAGCCCACGTTCCTAATGGATGGGGGCAGCACTCATTGGTGTTGACTGGTGTTGGACTCATTGAGTCCAAATGCCTTCAGCCCTTAATGCAACGCTCCAGGCACACACTCGGGTGAGAGGAGTTGGTTTATGAGACAGTGACTGCATATCCTCCATGTTCTATTCAGTTACAGGAAAGGAAGACTAGCAGGGAGCGCAGCCGGGTAATGAAGAGAACAGCATTTCCCAAGCTCTTTGCTGCCCCAGGGCCTTTGCGCGTGCTGCCCTGTGTTTGAAATCTTCCTTGCTAGCTCCTTCTCCTCCATCAACACAGGCGTCACCTCCTCCAAGGGGGGCCTGACCACCCTATCTCAGGCACCCGTCAAAATGAAAGTTTAGGTCATTTTCCTGGCTGCAAATCCTTCTCCCTAACCCCTGCCAAGGTATCCGTGTTCAGTCCCATCCCAGGGACAAAACGCACTAGTTTTGAGTACCCTGGGTAGATGGGTTTGTGGAAAATCAATTCATTTCTTGGAAATTAAGAATCTTTAGATGGTAACGTGTCTGGGTTTCCACCCAAGTCTTTCTCCTTGTTCCCATGTGGCCCCAGGAAACTAAACAGGACTGAGAGGTCCTCCTGAGTGTCTCAGGAAGCTGCAAAAGTCCCCCAGGCTCAGACCTCTCGAATGGCAAGAGTTGGAAAAACCGAGGCCGGACTGTCAACCAGTGTTTCCCACACGGCACAGACCTGAGAACCCAAAGCAAACTGCATTACGTTGATGGGAAAATTTCTGATGTTTAGAAGACTAATGATGTGCCTAAGTTAATTCACTGGACTCTGGGACTATGAGGCAATCCATCCATACTCTCCAAACTCCAGCTGATTGGAGGAGACCAGTGCCTGGATCTCATGAGGTCATCTCGACGCTTCAGCTGTAACCCTTGGAGAACCTGTGATCTTTGCTGCTCTGCCTGCTGACATGATCATCCCAGGTGGAAAACAGGTGAGGAACTTGGCGTGTGCAAATGTGGGTCAAATGATAGAAGTGACAACCCATGTAAGTCAGGGGAACTGGCAGGAGCAAAGGTAGAAAGACCTTCTACCAACGCGAACAGAGATGGGCTTCTTGCTACCAGTTAGCTTCTGCTTCTGGGTCCCAGAAAGGGCTTCAGCTGGGGGGTCTGCTGGTGGCAAGAGCCTGTCTGAATGACTAAATCTCAAAATGAGAGAAAAGGCGGACAGACCCTCTCACAGTTGGTTAAAGGTCTTGTCTCCGTATGTACGCATGTGAATTTGATGTTTCAGGTGTCACCGTGCGATCTCAAATACTGATCACGAAGGCAAAAGTTAAACTCAGGGAGCAATGTTGTTCTGCTGCCCTCTGAGTCAAGCTGGCCTAGAGCTAACGGGAACACAGGCTGGCCACCAAACACCCGTTACCAGTTTCTGGATCTGAGAGTTCTGGCTTCCTGTGGGAACACACCACGTTCTGATCGCTCACGAACTGCACAGGTTGCACGTGAATACCTCGTTCCTCTCTATTGAAATCCCACCCTTCACAGGAAAGCACCAAAGCAACAGACTATTAAATTTAGTTAAATATTAGATTTCTCATTTAATGATTGCCCACACAACTGGTTTTATCAGCAGAGAGCTGACTGTCCCACAGGGGACTTGAGTTAAGCCATTTTATTTGTTCCCATAATTGCATTCAAAGAGGGCAGGAGCTCAGCAGAGAAATAAGAAAAGATTGGCATATTCCCTGAAGGACTCTTCTTTTGACTTCAGGGCAGTGGGGACCTCCAGTCTGGAGCATACAAATGGCCACTCCTTAATTAAATGTGAGCCCCCTCTAATATTTGGTGGAATTAGCTATTATCAGATCTGGACACCGTGAGACCGCAGAGACTCATGCCTGCTCACGAGGCTGCTTCCCTCGCTGCGCCCCGTGGGCAGGTCGTGGTGTAGCTGTGCACTGTTGCAAGACATGCTTCCAAGTGGCCCAGCAGGTTCAGGGGATTGGTGGAATCACCACTGTGCTAAATTTTGGAAAATTGGTGACCAGATCCAATGAAAACCAATAGGCAACGGATCTAAAAGAGGAGGAGAGCAGCCCCTTCCCTTTCTCACATTTCCACAAGAAGTAAAACTGCAGGATGCTGTCTGCACGCGGAGGCTTAGGCAGAAGTCTCTCCGGCATCTCCCTGTTGCCTTGGCCTGACTTCCCCTGCCTGGGTTTTCTGTGCCTTTCTAGTCCAGGCCTCTTCTGCCCTATTTCTGCTCACTCCTCACGTGCGCCTTCCCCTGCGGCCATCAGTAAGACCCCTCTCTGCCCCGCCTCGCCCCTCCCTGTGCTCTTGCGGCTGCCAGCTGCTCACCCCAGGGTTGCGCCATCAGTCACATTCGAAGACCAGATTCAGGCCCAGAGCCCGCATGACTGCTCTTTAAACGTACTCACCTTCACTGGATATCTCTTTTCTTTGAGCTCCATTTTTGTTTTTTGAGACAGGGTCTTGCACCCAGGTTGGAGTGCAGTGGTAAAATCATAACTCACTGCAGCCTCGAACTCCTGGGCTCAAGCAATCCTCCCACCTTGGCCTCCCGAGTGGCTGGAACTACAGGCATACACCACCATACCCGGCTGAATTTTGTAATTTTTGCAGAGGTAGGGTCTCACTATGTTGCCCAGGCTAATCTCAAACTCCTGGACTCAAGAGATCTTCCTCGCTGGGTGCAGTGGCTCACACTTGTAATCCCAACTCCATCTCTATAAAATATGAAAATACAAAAATCCAGGCATGGTGGCACACACCTGTGGTCCCAGTTACTCAGGAGGCTGAAGTGGGAGGACAGCTTGAGCCCTGGAGGTCGAGGCTGCAGTGGGAGGATGGCTTGAGCCATGATTGCACTGTTGCCCTGGAGCCTAGGTGACAGAGCAAGACACCATCTCAAAAAAAAAAAAAAAAACAAAAACAAAAACAAAATATTTCCATGAAAGGATTGTAGAATCTTGGGGCCAAGATGCTAAATATTACATTTCTTAAAATCATATTGTCCTTCCTTCCACATATACATGCAGTGATCAACAGAGACATGCTTTATGAACAAAATACAAGAGACAAAGGAAAGGGTTCGGGTGCGGTGGCTCACGTCTGTAATCCCAATGCTTCGGGAGGCCAAGGCAGGAGGATCGCTTGAGTCCAGGAGTCTGAGGCCAGCCTGGGCAACATAGGGAGAACTGGTCTCTTCAAAGGAAAACGTAAAAATTAGCCAGGCATGGTGATGCATGCCTGTAGTCCCAGCTACTCGTGGGACTGAGGTGAGAGGATTGCTTGAGCCCAGGAGGTCAAAAAAGAAAAAGAGGTCCTCCCACCTTGGTCTCCCAAAATATTGGGATTACAGATGTGAGCCACAGCA